GCGCTATGACTTTGATATCGAAATCCGCGGTGCACTACAAAAGATGTACAAACAAGTACGACGGCGTTAGCACTTACTTCATCATACTTAACAACACGTCTTGGTGTTTACACAACCTGCAAGCCCCTACATCTATCTTCAGTGAGCTGTCGAATCGCGTAAACGTCTATTGTGGGCTGGAAAGCAATGTGACGCCTATAGGAATAGGATTCCTTTCAAATTGCTTATCAAAAGAAAGGTTTCATTTTAACGATTGCCACATGGGAAGCCATACTGAGCTCGACTAACAAAGAAATCGAAAAGACAGGATGGCTTTATTCCGAGATTTTGGAAAAGGTCTAATCAAATTGCTACGAAGGTTGATGTCTCGGAAACATAAGAAGTAATAGACAGAGTTAATTTTTTCCTCAACCTTCGGATATTGATATGACAGTTGAGGATAATGACACAGTATAAAATCAAATCTTTGAAAATTAATACAGTCGAAGACAAACATTTACAAATGACAGTCACTGTGAACACTTTAAATAAGAGGAAAATTGAATGATTAAGGAAGGCCCAAAACCATTCCTCGCCCTGGGTATCTCTACCTTGCTGCATTAGCCATACAACAGCAAGTAATTTTTTCTTTGTTGTAAGAGTCACCGTACAGGAGTAATGATAAGCAGATTGTCGTGAGATAGAAGAGCACTACTGGCAAGTGAGTACGGTAATCTTATAGCTGTCCGCAATATGACGGATTTTGTGGTGTATAGTCTGAAGTGTATCCATATTGATGATAGTAATTTGGAGGAGTAGCATAGAAATTATTGTAGATGGAGTAGTTTGCAGCAGGAAGAGGATAAGCCCATGCTGAAAAAGAGGGATTAATTTCGTTTGTTGTAGAAGCCATAATGGAGCTCACTTGTTGGTGTAGCAGAATTGCTCGGATACTTATTGTCCACCAACTTGTACTCATCCTTCTCCAATTTCAATCCCATACTACCCACAGTGAGGTATTTCGAATCATTACGTTGATCGAATTCTGCAGTACCAGGTAACGGAATGTGTGACATGGCTTTCAGATCCACAACCTTTGGCTCAGGAGGGGGACTTTCATTGGAGGACGATCTTAAACATTCAATTTACTACACATCTTTAGTATAAAGCCTTTTCATTACTTACCCAGAGGCCGTTCTTCCGCTGTTTTGTAGCAGGTGCGTCTTTTTGAGTTGGCGGTCTTTTGCTCGTCGGTTCTTGAACCATACCTATAACA